AGCAGCAGCAGCAGCAGCAGCAGCAGCAGCAGGAGTAGCAGTAGTAGTCGTCGTCGTCGTCGTCGTCGTCGTCGTAGTCGTAGTCGTAGTCGTAGTCGTAGTAGTAGTCGTAGTCGTCGTAGTAGTCGTAGTCGTAGTCGTAGTCGTAGTCGTAGTAGTAGTAGTAGTAGTAGTAGTAGTAGTAGTCGTAGTAGTCGTAGTCGTAGTTGTTGTTGTTGTTGTAGTTGGCAGTCTGCTTGATTGCATCATGGGCCGACACGCTGAGGCTGCGAGAAGCGAGACGTTGCCTTCAACACCCTGAAAAAGTTAGAGGACAGGTTATTGCAGGGCTGAGACTTTGTGGGCTTCGGGCTTGCTGCGTTCTGAAGGGTTCCAGGGTTTCTGATATCTATAGGCCCCTGCCATCCAAACATCCGTTGGGATTTGGAATTTTCGACATGACGGTCCCGCTTCGATTACATGTTTTCGTGCCGACTTGAAGGCACTTGTGCTGCATATGACGGTATTAGGCATCTCCAGTGAGCGTTGCAGGAGCACCTTTGGCACTCGCACTGGCGACAGCTTTGCAATGTCTGCTTGCATCACAGGCCAGTTTGAACGCGGTGCCGTGTGGGTGCAACTCTAAATTCCTTGACACCATACTGTCACTTTCTGGCTTCTCCTGGCAGTCACGGGTTCTATTCGCTGAAGGCCGTATCTGTAAGTAAGATTTGTGCTGTCCCTGGAGGCCGGCATTCGTTTGTGAACAGAGGGCCTGGATCTCAAGTTCGCGCCATTTCAAGCAAGGGAGGGCGGCATATTTCCGTCGTCGAGGCCTATGCGTCAAACGACATGGAGCGACATTTTCGGGAAGGAGACGCAGCATTCATGCGTCTCAGCTGCAAACGTCAGACCGGACACGAGAACAGATGGAAGGCTCAGCTGCAAAATGCGCTTTCGACAGCCGCACAACTTTGGGCTTCTTCTCACTGGAACCGGGCTTGTGCAGAGCCGTGGGCCCTGCACAGCCAGCGTTTCGCTGTTGTTGGGAGTGGCATGCCGCCCAGCTTCCGGCCATGGCAGGGGTGTGTTCGCAGTGCATTGGCAAAGTGCAGGAGCTGGCGAGCAGCTCAAGCATTGACGACCCATTTCAGCCCTTTCCTAGCTTGCACAGCGAGCCGTGATCGGTGGGATCAGGTTGGCGAAAGGTGCAGCTGCCTAGAAGAACCCCACTAGCGCAGCAACACACGCAAAAATGTACCACGTACCAAAGTACCGCAGGGCAGATATGCGGTCTCTCGCAGGCACTTTTTGACAGAGACTGCATGGGTTCTTCGACAGCCAGCTTGAAAGGAATCCAAGTCAGGCTGACCTTTGCAGAGCTCTCGAGGTCATGGCATCTCTACCTGAGAACAACTGCGAAGTAGATAGAGACTTGGAGCCCAAACGGATGCCTTAGAAGATCAGGGGCTGCAGGTCCCAGACCTTGCGCTCGGAAGATGGGACACCCCAAGAACACCTTTGTCGCCACCAGGCTACAAGTCGGGGAAAGGCAGGGCTTTGGTTTTGAAACTATCTTATATTCGGCGGCTGCTTACTTCGTCATCAAACCTCCAATGGGGCTTTGCATCCGCTTGGTCCGTCGCCTGGCCCGGCAGCGTGGCAAGTAAGTGAAGGAACCCCGCCGTCTCTGCAATTGCTGAGCCGAGTGATCCTCATGGCTTCATCCACTGTTCCTCACCTATGTCACCCTGACCTCGCACGCAAGGTCGACGGAGCATCCGACCAGCTCAGCAGCAAGTGCAGCTTGGTCGCAGAGGTGCGTTTCAACCTGGTCGTCCATTTCTTGAGTCTATTGTCCAGGTTCCTCCTCATCCCAAGTGCGAATTTTGCGGCCAGAGGCATTGTCATGCGAACAGTGGTGTGTTGTGCGTCGCCTCTGCCTCACAGTACATGCGCCGCATACCCTGACGGCCCAAATTCGATTCACCCCTGTCCCCAGACTTCCTGCGCAGGTTCTTCAACGATGAGAGCCTTCTGGCACATATGCAGATGAAGCAACTGCCTTGCAAGAGCATGCGTCTGACTGCATCGTGCAGAAGCAGGTGGAGGTAGGTTGCTATTAGTCCAGCATCTGCTGCTCCCATTAAGGCACGAGGTTTGCAATCTTTGTGATTCCATGGGATGGAAGAACGAGTACTACTTGAACCCAAAGTGTAGGGGCCTCAGTTTTGGGATGCTGGATGACAGCCCAGCTCATTGTTGTGTGCCTTGCGAGGCCTTTCGCGCCATTATCAGGAATGCCACTACGTGTGTGCTCACCCGGACCGCCCACCTGAGCTGTTAGTTGGAGCTGAAAGCGACGGTTGGCAAAGCGCGAGCAGCCGATGGGAAGGAAGGTCCGCACACTCCGGGGCTTCTGTTGCTAGGACTGCGCGACTGGCGGTTACAGACAGATCGCTTTCGCGGATGAGAAGGAGCATTTCAATGCGCTTCTTGACATGCGCTGACGAGCCCGGAGTCTCCCGCAGGGCCTCGAGGATCACTACATCAGAGTCCATAAACAGACCTTTGTGCAAGAGAAGGCCGCGAGCTGTTCGAGCCTTGCTGTTTGAGTATTTTCAGTGTTCAGGGCAAGAACAAGCTGGAGATCAACTGGTTCCAGGACTCAGCTCACCAGCAGACCCGCGGAGCCTTAAGAAGTGGACGTCAGGACTCCAACCGGCATCGAGGAAAAGGCTCAGGTGCACTGCACCACTGCTCTGGGATGCATGGGGAGGCTTGTGCCAAGTCAGGACTGTCCGAAGCCCTGTCGCCGTCATTGCACCTATCTCTCCTCGACTTGCAGCAGTGTGAGCATCATCCGGAAAACAACTGCACGGCCTGAAGGTTCACAATTCTGACTGTTTGTGTAGGGCTACAGCACCTCAAGCAACAAATTCCGTCGTCCAGACCATACAAGCCCCGGGACTTGATTCAGGGAGACCAGGTAGAACTCGGTCATATTCCGGCCAAGGCGACAAGTTGTATGTCTTCGATTCTGAGACTTGATCGAAAGGGTCGAAACCTCGTGAAGTTGACTACATACTGACATTTCACCAAGTCTTCGTCAATCTCGGTTCCGCAGAAGCTGCTCATGTTGGCAAGTCAGACGCAGTGAGGGCACTCCAGACCCCAGAATCTGCGCATCTTACGGATCCCGAGTCTTCTTATATTACCACTTATATCAACATGAAGAAATTCTGTGTCTAGTCTACTATATTATATACTCCTATAAAATTCGTACTCTGTCCTATTTACCCTATTACGATAATCAAGTAAATTCCTGAACCCCAGCTGCAGTAACACCTCCTTGGAGGTTCATGGGTAGTTGTAAGTAGGGTTATAAGTCCCCCAAAATGAGTTATAATTATAGTTACCCTACTTATAACCCCACTAAACCCTAAACCCTAAACACTTATAATTACCCATGAGCCTCCAAGCAGCTAACAGCTCCTAAGCTTTTGCCAGGCCGGGGGTCCCTGGAGGACGTGGATCCGGTACACTTCCGATGGCCGTGGTGTCCTCGGGGGTTTAGGGTTTAGGAAGTTGGGGAGGCTTACTTAGAGGATCATGGGACTTAGTAAGTAGTGTTATAATTAGGGTAACTATACTTATAGCCCGAATTACGGGACTTATAACCTACCTTACTAAGTCCCATGATCCTCCAAGTAGTTGTGATTGGATTATGGTTTCGGCATGGATGATCGAATTTGGCGGCGCAGCGAAGTTTGATCTGAAGATCTTCGGAATCTGGAAGCATACCCCTGATAGTCCCTTTGTATTTATACCATGATGCCCGTCGAATTCTTGGACTTCTCCAGGTCCCTGCTCGCCTCATATAGCCTACCGAAACCTGACACCCTGAACGCCAGGGAGACGGCCACGCCGGAAGACTACGCAGAAATCTCAGCGCTTGAATGATTATAATATATAATACAATATATAATATAATATAATATAATATAATATAATATAATATAATATAATATAATATAATATAATATATGTATATATATATATATATATGATTGTGCGTTTAGGTTTAGGGTTGGGAGCTGCCCTTGGTCGGTGGATTGCTGAGGCCCGAGACGCCGAGGCGGAGGCTCTGCCAATGCTTGGGACAAGAAATGATGCAACTGCCCCTAACCCCCCAGGTACCTACTATATAGGGTACTAGAGCCCCTAGGGTCCTATTTAGTAGGTACCTGGGGGGTTAGGGTGCAGGATGTAGCACAGTAACTGTGACGATTTGCTTCACATCCTGTTGGTACTTGACAGGACCACGCCAGGTTTTGGACTCGGTTTCGTGGCGAGAGAAGGATGTAGTGCCGGGTGTGAGTTTGGCTGCAGCCTGGAGCGACCATCATGTTAGGCGGGACGGCAACTTCAAGCGCTACCCCCGCCGTGACATCATTCCTCTTGCCATCAAGGGCAGCGACGAAGGAGGTGGCTCCTCCTCAGCCGACTTGACCATCTCTCAAAAGTGTCGTCCTCGCAGGCTGGCGAGCGAAGGATCAAGAAGTAGGCGGAGGTGTAGAACAAAATGGTAGCGTCCATCTCGAGTCCGAGCAGGTGCGCCCTTCCGGTCTATGCGTTTGTTACATGAACTTTTGGTGCATGTCTGCATGTGCCATGTATCATGTCTCTGGCCTCTTCAATCCAAGTCTGTGGCCTCGGCAAGGTGGAAGTGCCTCTGCAACCAGGCACAGTCCAGCCTGTTTACCCGTTCCTGTCGTCTTTCTTTAGATTCTTTAGATATCCGTCCAAGATACTACCAGTCGGTGACTTTCGAAGGAACTGCTCCAGAGGATTCAACTGCGAAGAGAAGAGCTGAGAAGAAGGCCCAACTCGCAGGCAAACAGGACGTGCAAGGATGCGTGATGTGCAGCTTGCGGTCAGGAGCCTGAGAAGAAAGAGCAGGCACTACTTCCCGCTATGGAAGCTCTTGGCGTCGAGTGCCCAAACCTCATCTATCTGCAGCAATACCCTGAAGAGTAGGCTTTCTCAGTCGCCGTCCGTGTTCCGTCGAGCTTCGACCAGGTGCGGTTGCCAGCGATGGACCTCGCAGCGGGGTCAGAGTCTGAGTCTTGTGCGATGCAAACCTAAAGCTGTCGTCGTACTTGTGTACTTGGAGGATCATGGGACTTAGTAAGTAAGGTTATAAGTCCCTTAATTGGGGTTATAAGTATAGTTATCTTAATTATAGCCCTACTTACTAAGCCCCATGATCCTCTAAGTCGACGAAACTGCCCACCGGAGCCATCCCCGACTCCGGCTCCAGGCTCCGAGCTGCCTCAGCGCCTTATGGGGAGCTCTCTGCGCAATTCTGGAGGAGGACGACCAAGAAGGCTGGGAGCCAGGAGTCATGATAAGTTAGGTCATGGCATACAACTATTTTTCCATTACAAGATATATTAGGTTATTATTAAACTAGGGATTATATGGATGCTGGCGGAAAGTCAAGAGATTTCTGCCTCTGTCCATTGATCGTATGTGCGACTCTTCCTTGGAACCGTATCCTCTGACCTTGCTCAGACCGCGACACGGTGCTCTTACCCGTGATTCAGAGACTCAATGCCGCGGAGGCCATGTCATTTCATAAAGCGCTAGATACGGCACAACTCAGCGTCTCCGCTAGGTGGAAAACCTGGAGAGCATGCGCATTCACCTGCATGACTGCCCTGGTGATCCCGGCGCAGCGGAGCACAGCATCGACTGGGCTCCCCTGGAGCGGTTATTGAGCCAGGGACCCGTATCCTATTCCCTCCTGGTGGAACGCCATCCTTCGAAGTATTGAAGGTCTACGCCCCCTGCTGTTCAGACTCTTGCGTGACAAGACCAACCAGACCAAGGCACGGGAAATTCGCTGGAACTTTTAAACCTTCTCGCCTCAAGCACTGAGATGACAGGCGAACAACTCGCCGAAGCCCGAGCTGTGTCGCAGTAGCAGCATTGTGCAATGATGCATCCGCAGTGTGGCCGGAACCTGTGATAGATGGCAGATGGCAATGCTGGAATCCTGAGTTCTAACAGGCTCTGCTGGCTCATGCCTATGGTACTTTCCGTGCCCACGTCGTTGACATCGTCAAAACTCGTTTGCGGCTGAATGTTGGCTGTTCTGGTCACTGTGGTCGAGATGGGATGCAGCGGACGCTCATGTGCTCTTGCTTGAGTAGACACGTCAGCAGAATTGGATTGACACTAGTCACTAGTGATGCTTGCCACCGCATTCAAGTCTGGAGCATCGAAAGCGTTTAGCGGAAGCGGACGCCGGCTAATGCTCATGATGCTGGGCTGTAGAATAGTAGAAACGCCTGAGCACATGATGTCTCATGATGGTGGCGACTCTGGCCAAGAAAGAGGGGTCCGAACTGTCGAGCGGAGGGGCAGAGATGTCCTTATGTCTTTGATGCCGTCCGATGTGGGTTGCCTGGAAACAGCTTGATGTGAGGTGAGCCGTCTTGGGGGGCGGAGCCACAGCTTAGCTGTGGTCCGTGAAGGAACATGATCATGCGAGACCCTTTCTCACAATGCTTGACCTGCCATGATGATGCTGCTGGGCACCAGCAAATCTCCCATGACCCCACGCAGCTTTGTCGATGGATGGCTGAAATGGACGATGTTGCAGGAGCAGCTCAGTCGAAACAACTGGCGGCTGATGCTGATAATGCTGGCTCATGTGGCGTGGGAATTTGAACTAGTTGCAACAGTACAGTACGAATGATGCTCCTGATGCTGGAGCTGATGGTGTTGACAGTGCTGCCGGAGTCCCTGACATCGCGAAAACAAGTTTCAGCTGATGCTGCTGATGCTGGCTGTTTCGTCTGGCTCGGTCGAGACGAGACGCAGCTGATGCTCATGATGCTCCGTTTCATGTTTGTTCTGTGATAGTGGTGAACGCTGTCTATTACATCTGGGGCATGTCGAAGGATGCGGCTACTTTCGTCATTCAGTTGATGCAGACGGCCTAGGGTGCAATTCTCGCTGGCTTCGATCAGACGCGCTTCAGCTGTTGCTCATGATTCTGACGACGGGCGTCTGACTTGGGGTGCTCGTGCCACTCGAAGTGAATGCTTTTGACGGATGGGTGCTCACATGGGGGCTGCATTCAGTTCACAAGGCAGGGCTTGTGGTAGTGTAAATGAAGTTGTGCTGCTGTTCATGATGCGAGCTCAGCCGTCTTGGGAGGGAGAGCGTGGTACAGCCGCAAACATGAAACGGAGCATCATGAGCATCAGCTGCGTCTCGTCTCGACCGAGCCAGACGAAACAGCCAGCATCAGCAGCATCAGCCGAAACTTGTTTTCGCGATGTCAGGGACTTCGGCAGCTGCAAGGGTGTCAACCCATCTGCTACTAGACTCTGGACTTCTCTAGACTGTCCCCATGGCCAGCATCATGAGCATCAGCCTGGTTGTGTTTCGAGTGTAGTCGCACTGTGCCATCTGAACTACTTGTAGCTCAAACTCCCAAGCCAGCCAGCTTCATGAGCATCAGCCTAGTAGTCTTTCCGAAGCGCGGCTGCTGGTATGTCAGGACCTTTCGTGGTGATGTACAGTCTCAACTAGAGTAGACTAGCTAACATGAGCATCAGCTGCCAGATGTTTCAAAAGCCCTGGCCCGGGAGATTCACTACATCATGATCATGCCCGATCAACCATTCATGAAGCCCATCTCCCGGCTCTGTTGAATAATGTTTGTCATAACCACAGGCAAGTCGAAGGACGTGGCTGATGCTCGTCATTGCGTTTGTCTGGGAATGTCTGGGACCGGTTCTGTTTTGTCGAAGTGGGCGGCTGCTGATGCCCATGATGCTGGCCTGCATGACTGGACCCGGGTGAAAATTAACGTCGGCTTCGGATGCGCAGACGTGCTTCAGCTGGGGCTCATGACTCTGACGACAGGCGTCTAAGTTAGGATGCTCGTGGTGTGCTGGGGCTTCTGATTAGCGCGACCGCCGGATGGTCTACAGCCTGTTGATGTTCATGACGCCGGCGGTCGGCACATGCATCGATTCACATGACGCTTGACATCGTGTGTTGGGCTCACAAACGAGGATGCTAGAAAATTAGGGATGACACAACATAATTTGCAGCGGTTGTTAAGCGAATCTTTTAGTGCGGGTTTGACAGTCGATGCTGCCGGAAGCTTTCTTCTCTGGTCCACAGGTCCGCCTCCAATCGTCGTCTGATTGGGCCGAGGAGACGCAGCGTTGACAAGCTTCAGGGCGTGTGTTTCGGGTGGTTTTTACATGTTTGCGGGCTGCTTGTGGGTGCGATAAGCTTGGTCTTCGTGGGCCAGGGGGGGACCTTGCCAGAAGCCTTGGAAGTAGCCATGGATTTTTGTAGCTCATCCACAGCGCTTACGATGCTCTTTCTTGCAATGCACATTTTGGAGAGGCCATGTAAGCGCAGCATCCTAGGTTTTGAGCTCCTCCCACTTCTCAACAAGAATGCGTGATGATCGTAAACTCAATGCCAATAGTAACGAAGACTATTCGCACTGGTACAGGGGCCTTAATAATTAGAATAGGGTTTTGGGGCCCATCATACTATAATTATAATAAGGAACCTCCAAAATAGTATAGGTAATCATTTAGGCCCCTGCATTGGCCCATCATACTACAATTATACTAGGAACCTCCAAAATAGTATAGGTAATGATTTAGGCCCCTAGATTAGTCAGTAGTCTTCCCTGTCCCTTGTCCCTTCGACCGACTTCCAGGCAGGGTCCAGCTGCTGAACAGGAGCAGGACTTGGGCTTGTGGGGCTATTAGAGTTTAGCGGTTCAGGGGTTTGAGGGTTCAGGGTTTAGGGTTTAGGAAGAGTCAACTGGAAGCAGTTTGGGTTTTAGGGCTCTAAGGTTTTCGGGTTAAGGGAATCTAGGGCAAAGGTTCAGGAGCATTCAGGCTGCCTGCTTCTATCGTTGTCTTAGTCGCCGATGTCGTATTGTTCTCCCTTTTCCGTCGTACGAGTCGTGTGTGCCGGAATCATTCGGAATGGCCGAGATGGCAGTTTCTGTTTGTTGCGAAGCTATCGGCTCTTTCTCAGCGCAGGGCTTCTGGCCACATGATCGTAATTTTATTTGTGGAAACTTCCCACAAATCAGTTCAGGAGCAGAAGCAGAGTTGACAAGATGGCTTTGGGGGGTCACGGTTTACATTTTAGGTTCAGGTTGCGGCCTAACTTTCGCACTCCAATGACGAAAGGCAAGGATGTCGGGCCGCTGCCCATCAAGCGCGTCAGGTTGCAATCGGGAGCCAAGGCTTTCGACTGCTCGCGTGAAAAGGAGCCTGTCCTGTTTTACAGTGCTCCACAACGAGAGCCCTGGCAGATGTTATGCAGAGTTCCCAGGCTTCGAGCTGGTCGCCATCAGACCGTCGAAGCAGAATAGTACAGTAGAGTGTGCAGTATGTACTATATGAATATATAGTAGATATAGTTATATCGTGAGTCTTACTTATATCGTATAGTATGGTAAAGTACAGTATAGGAAGCCAAGCCAAGCTTAGGGAAGTCCTGAGGATCTCCTTGCACCATGGCCTGCGAGCAGCCGCTGGCGGCTAAGCGACGGAAGCCTCGGCCGATGCTACGGAGACCAAAGCTTCCTCGCAATTCGGGCGGTCGAGGAGTCGGACAACACGGTGCAAGTTGAGCTGCCCATGTCCGCCTACCTGGCCGAGCTTGGTAGAGACCCTCACACCTACATCTCTGAGATTCGCTTCCCGGACCAGGGAGATGACGAGGAGAGCAGCGATTCGAAGCATCAGCTTCTGGATGATGTCGGACCGGCACTGCCGATGCTGAAGTTGCCCCGCGATGGAGGTGCGTACGCCTATATCCGCGAGAGCCAGAAGCATCGGATTCACGCCCCTGCTGAGGAGCACCACCAGATCCATGTCGATCCTTCCTGCAAGCCGTGGAATCCGTTGTTCCGCTGGTTTCTTTGTGGAAGTCCGGGTTCTGGGCTGGGCTGTCATCAGGATCCAAACTCGACGATGTTCTGGAACGCTTGCATAGTGGGGAAGAAGAGGTGGTGCATCTTTCCTCCCTCAACGCCGGAGTCTTTGCTGGTGTCCAGGGAGGGGCTGCCGTGCAGGCTGCCCGGCTCGGGTACCACTGAGCACCCGGAGTATCATCCCTCAGCTTCAGCAAAGGCATGGTTCGAGCAGGCTCGGCACGGAAGCTCATTCTGATTTGTAATCCATTATAATCCGATTTATAATCCGATTAAAACTTGCCCCCCCCTTCCCGGTGCCAGGAGTATGAACGCGTGCGAGGCCTGCATTGCAATGCGCAGCGATCGGGTGCGGCTGCAGGGATTGGCATGGTCGAGTTCATCCAATCTGAGGGAGAGGTCGTTGTATGCCCTGCAGGCCGAAGCGAAGAAAACAATCCAGAAACTTCCCTAGGCCCTAGGCCCATCTTACAGTTTTGAATCCCAAGATACCCTGTCACCATGGAGGCTGGTGGCATATCGTCCTTGTTTTGGAGCCATCGGTGACCTTCACGGAGAACTGGCTCGCGGACCGGGACATCGGTTCTGCCCTTGGGCTCTTGCAGCCGTGGCAGGCAGAGATCCTCTGGCGCTCCCTGCCTTGGCTCCTGCGGCTAAGGGCTTTCTTCGGGCACACCCTCTTTAGGCTGCAGGCCATGCAGGCTGCAAGGCTCCAAGAACGAGGCTCCCGAAGGTGACGGCACCTCAGCAGGTGGCATATCTGCGATACTTGCAACGATGGACAGACATCAAGCACACCCGGATGTACATAATTATGCATATGTGTGTTAAACCTCTCGGATCGGCTAGTGCATCGTCTGGACGAAAGAAAGCACAGGGCGGAAAGCTTCTGTTCGGGCTTGAGCGAGGCCTGCATGTGGAACCTTGCCCTACATGATGCTTGCGACGTGCTTTAGCACACACGTGGTACTACCCGTGATTGCAAAGCCAGCCACCACGATGGGCGGACCGCACAGCGCAGGCCAAGTTTCGGCAAAAGTGCGTCTTGAAAGGCCCGCCATCAGGCAAAGGCACCACCGTGACCTCTGCACGCCAGCACGAGTACGTTGGTGCTGTTGCAACAAGACAGATAAACGGGAGGATGCACCTCTCACTTGGCACGCCCGTCGATTCACCGGACACCCGTGGCGGAAGCCAATGTACCGACAGCCTCCAGTTCCACCTCGGCATGTCCACTCACAGAGCTCGAGTGAACGACGAAAAGGTCGCAAGCGCGAGAAGCACAGCAGCTACCTCGCTCGCATCCCATACCTTCTTGGCCATACCCCCACCTTAACCCCTGAAGCCCTAAATGCTTAAACCTCTGAACCTTGAACAATTTCCGTAGAGACCCGTCTCGTTTTGCCTGGTTTGAGGACGAGGCAAAGGCCTGGCGCGAATGGAAGGTTGCTGCGCAGGCTTCGAGGGCGTGGATCGGAGTTCAGGATTTGGGGCTTTTCAGCTTGCAGGGATTTTGGGGTTCAGCTCGGGTTTAAGCTTCAGGGTTGAGGATTCAAGGTTTGTGGGAATTGTCTTGGATCGAGGTGTTTGGTTGCATTTGTTAAAGGGATTTCATGTTTGGCGTGTTGCTGTTACTGACTGTGAGACCGCAGTTGCGCGGGAGCCCCACAGTGCCTCCAAAAAGCTACGGACACCGAGGAGCCGCCCATGAGCCCCTGATCCCTGTTTGGTGCAGGCGGTCATCCTGGCTATGGAACCCAAGGCTCAACAACGCGTTCTGCGTTATGTCGTAGACTCAGCTTTCGTGGCATGCCCCCTTTGCTGTTCCCAGGCCTGCACTCTCTATCGAAGTGCAGACTTTGAGGTGGCGCTGTGTGTACAGAGAAGAACAGCGCTTGACAACCGGGACGCGGGCGTCCCGGATTGGGAGGATGAGGAGAACTTGCAGCAGGCCCCATCCCTTCCGAATGGAGCCTGTTGCTATGAGCCCGAGCATGTCGGCTACTCAATGGCAGGACTTCCCATCGCTTGGGGAGGCGCCGGCCGGCAGCCCAGCTCGCTTCATGAGGGTGGAACCCCAAACCCATGCATACCTGCGCCCAAGCCTCGGTTAAGGCCCAATGGGTCTGTTCATTGAAGTGGTTAGGTTCAAAGCTCCGGCGCAGAAGTCAGCTCTCTGGCACGCCATGCCCGAGGCCGGTATGTATGCATATGTATATATATATATACACACATACATATATGTAGGTGCATGTGCATATGATAATGCATGTAAGTGTGCATGTACATGTCTATGTATGTATATGTATGCATATATGCATATATGCATGTACGTACGTACGTACGTACGTACGTACGTACGTACGTATGCATGTATGTATGTATGTATGTATGTATGTATGTATGTATGTATCTGTGCGTGTGTGTGTGTGTGTGTGTTCACTTGCATTTGCATGTGCACGTGTAGATACTCACGCATGCATGCTGGGTTCCTTCATGGCTTCACAGCTGCCTGGTTGTTTGGATGGGCGGGTAGGATGGTTGCGTTTGGAAGGGGATACCACGCTGTCCGCCACGTTTGAGTATGGCTCGGGTGGGGGTGCAGGTTGGTCCGACATCGCGGCCGGTCAGGCCCGTGAGGCCCGGGATGCAACGTATCGGGCTCTGGGCCTAGCCTTCTCTTGTGGGTCTAATGGGTCTAATACATTAGGGGTTGTTTGTTCTTGGGCTTGAGATGCCTTGAGAGACCCACGATGCCCGGACTTAGAGACTTAGAGACCTTGGCAGGTGAGCGCCCAGGTGGAGCAATTTCCCGCATTGGGAGGTGCCCGGGTCATCAGTTGGTTGGAATTTGTCGTGTCTGTGCTCGAGGGCATTGTGGTTTGGGTTTTAGTTGGTGGGGCTTGCATGTTTGATTTTTGCAAGGGGTCACGGGAGCCTCACTCCCTAGGTTTAGTATTGTTTGCAGTAGCAAGTTCCGGGCTTAGGAAGTCAGGAAAGCTTAAACAAAAAGGTCAAGATCGACGGCTGGTGACTCGTCTCCGTATTATCTGAGAGACCAAGACTCCTCCAGCTTGTCGCCGGACCATCGGAGGGCACCAGGGCCTCATGCAGTTTGCACGTGAGTTGCTCATGACGGCCTGTCTGTGTGTGCAATGCAGCCGAGGATCCAGGTGCACCCGGTCAGCCGTGGTTTCGGGTTTCACTTCTGCCTGCTTGTATTTCCGTTCTCGTGTAACGCTCCGATGTACATCATGGGTTCGGCAGGGTCGGTTGCAAAACGACGCCATACCCACACAACTTCTAAAGCATCGGCGGCAGCACCTAATCTTCACATCGTTTGTTCAGAGCCATGGGGGGTGCACAAGCAACGCTCTGCTCTTGCTGGGAGCGCCAAAAGCTCCCAGCAGATTTCCCACTTGGAGAACCCTGTGCCACAGAGCTCTCGGCAACCCCAGCCGCACCTGACGGAAGGGGCAAGGCCGAGGAAGATGACAGGGAGGTCACCTTCAAAATGTGCACGCGAAAAACCTTCGTGGAGTTGTGGGAGGTGAAAGAGGTCAAGAAGCGAAGCCGCAGCGTCCCCCGAAATTTCAGGGCCTGTAGAGAGGGAGTCCCAGCAGCGAATGCTGAGCAGCCCAGCAAAGTTCCCTCAGCGTCGCTTCCTGTGATCGATGACAACGTGCAGGAGACTGCTGACGAGGTGAGTGAGGTTCCTGCGCCTCAGCTGCTCGATCACCCATTCGAGCCATTCCTCACCTACGAAATGGTGTCAGCAGATCGGCGGTGGATGAGAGCTGTGGTCGGATGGATGCGCTGGAGAGACGTACCGGACAGGCCTCACGCCTGTGCGCACACATGCACTGCATGTTGCCAACTTGACAACGCCAGTTGGCGTATGGCATCCTGCGATCCACAGAGAGTCTCTGGTCAGCTTGGAAGTTGCAAAGAACTGGAGATCCTGCCCGTGTTGGCCGAGGAGTCCGAGGAGGAAGGGGAGTCCGAGGAGGAAGGCCCTGAGTGAGGTGTACAAAGCCTGTTTGGCTGGGTTTTGTGCGGAGACCCTCGAAGCTGACATTCCGCAAACTACACAAGTCTGACCCGGGCCTTTGCAAAAGCAGGAGCCCCGACATGTGTTGCAGGTGATCAAGCGCTAGTTGACCGTTGGCTCCTGGTTATCGGACACTTTGCACATTGACTGGTTCCTACATTAACAGGTTCCAACTTGATTCCCTTCAGCTTCACTCTGCATATCCACCAGTCTCACTCTGCAGAATGCCAGTTTTATTTTGACCGGTTCTGCTGCACTTTGCACGTTGACCAGTTTCACTCCGGTGCGGACGCCACACACTTTGCCAATGGTTGCAACTACACCGGGTAACACCCGACCGGGTACACCCGAGGGAGCAGCCATGTAGAGTCGGTGGACTGCAAGCGATAGTCCGATAGTTGACCATTTGAAGCATCAAGTTCATGTTTGCTGTTCAGCGTTTCCGATGCTCAGTCCCCATCTCTGCCAGTAGGCAATCTGACATCGTCTCACTTCTCGCAGAAAGCTCTGATCGATTGCTACAAACGCAGCCAACATTACGGTTGGTTCCTTGATATCACCTATGCACCTTGAACCAACATTCCAGGGGCGGCAGGCCCTGCGACGGTGGCCAGCGGAGCCCCCAGCAAGGTTCTGCGGAGCCTAGCCGAAGAACAGATCTGCAGTAAAAGCAGCACATGGGGAGCTTCATACCGAAGGAGGATGAGAGTCCGCGACACTCGAGTTTGGATTCTGAAGCCCCGATCAAGGTTGGGGCCCTGGCCAGAAGACCCCGGCACCGCATCTCGGCAAATATCGCTGAGCTCCGACCGAATCTTCAGGTTTTGTTTGTTTGCTTTTCTAGCCGGTGAGGTCCCTGCTTCCCACGGACGGAATGTCAGCACGTGCCATTGCATTGTTTTTTTTTTTTTGTGAGAAGTTGAGGCACCCTTTCTTGGTTGGTAGTCCTCAAGATCAGGATCCTGCTATTTAGATCCAAATTGCAGCTCTTTTGTTGGAGGTCTCCAGCACCCGCTGCAGGGCGGCCAGGCGGCAGCCGGGTGGTTTGTGCTAAATCCTTTCCTCTAGGCAACGACTTTGAGGTCAGGGGTCGCAGTTTGGGTTCAGGTGTGTCCATGGTTGGTGCGTTATAGGTGCTTCAACCGATGCGTTCCAGTATTCAAGTTCTATAGCAGAGTTTCGTCCTCAACTGCCTTTTGAATTCGCGCAGACCTTGGATCTGAGAGTCAGCAATTCCAAGCCCCAGCGGGGCAAAGCACAAAATCCGAACCCCAGACCGTCATACTATATTGTGAGGCATTATGCATGTACGTATATATGTAGTGTCTGTCTGTCTGTCTGTCTGTCTGTCTGTCTGTCTGTCTGTCTGTCTGTCTGTCTGTCTGTCTGTCTGCATATTTACATTTGTTTATGTATATACACATATAGACAGATAGATAGGTAGATTGATAGGTAGATAGATGCATACACACTCACAGATGCATACATATTGTGTGTATATTTTTAATATATCCACACCTCGAGAGAGATACAACTACAGTGCAAAGGGATGACAACGTGTGTATATATATATATACATACATGTGTATATATATATATATATATATATATGTTATGTGATGTTATGCACTGTAAGTACGTACAGCGACAACGCATGTGTTTAACGATTTGCTTAGCATGTCTAGTTTCGTGTTGGCCTCGCGCCTTGCCTTGACCAGCAGCTTCTTGCATGCAGAGTGGCCAGGCGACAACGGGCAGCAGGCGCGGCCTGCGTTTCAGACCAGAGCAGAACAAACAGACGTCGAAGATAAGCGCCCGAATCCACCTCAAGTCTTGCGGGCCACTGGTGGGTGTTGGGATCGGATGGGAGGAACTTTGGTGATTTTGAGCCTGCGAGGGCCCGAACGCTGCCGATCGTGTTCGAGGCAGAAACTTGCTGGACACAGGGGCGGAGGCCGGCATCTGCGGTGACTCCAAAGGACTTGCGGAACCCTGGTGTGTTATAGTGTATTTTAGTGTACTCTGGTAGATTATAGCATAGTATAGTATTGAGTAAGTCATTATATATTATACTATATCAAGCGAGCCTCAAGGGGCCCACTTTCGCTTCAGTGCTGTTGCAAGGCATTCCCAAGCTTGGGTGGGAGCAGCGTGCCCGTCAAGCGCTCAGCATCTCCATTGCGGAAGGCTGGCTTTCGCACCCCCTCGCCGAGCTCGTACCCTGCCAGGTTGCTGAGAACGTGAAGTGGGGAGTGCCCGGCACCGAGCCACAAACAAATCCTCCTCTATGACAAACCTGCTTCCATACCAATCGGCTATGCCGCGGGTGGTCATTTTAGGGTTCCTTGTTCTCGGAAGCTTGTTCAAGATTCAAGACTTGGCCTTTATCAGCCGCAAGCATGCGATCCCCCGAAACAGACCAAGAAGCCCACTGTGAAATCGGTAGTCGTCAAACATACATGGACATACATGCTGGGCATCGCACATTCTCTGACTGCTTCTGGCATGCATGCTTTCGGCGAATTTTGTGCTGAGGCTTGCAGCCAATGCAAGGCGGTTCTATTTCAAGTATCTGTGATACAAACCCCAGATTCACACTCAACATCACTCAACATTGTTTCCCCAGCTTGAAGCAGAGATGCGCTTTGAGGCCACGTGACATTGCGTCCGCCGCAGGCGCAGGGCTCGGTCGCGAGAAACATCATGCGGTGGCCAGCGAGCAGTCCAAACAACGCTGCTGATCGTTGAGGTGCAGGCGCAGAGTCAGCGCAGTCGGTCTCCCCGCCCAAGCGAGAAATGACGCTGGAGGAATGGGCAAAGCCACAGCCTCAGCGAAGCACGGACACTGTTTGGCCGCCACGGAAACGGCCGTGAGAGCTGTGCTGGCGCACCTGTACGGACGCACCACCACCAGCGACGACGACGTGTTGAACATGTGCACCTCATACCAA